AAATTTAATTTAGTAAGCATGCAATCATAAGAGAACTCAGGAAATATATACAGTCATGTAGTCAATGAATGTTTTTAAGTTTTGTGTAAGTTATTGGTGTGTGAATCACACAGACTTGTCACGTAGGCATATTTCATGAAATGCGAATATGTACTTCGAAGATGGCTAAATCATTGTATTGACCAGCAATAATTGTTTTATTATATGATTCACTGATAAAATGATACAGCTCATTATAACTTGTTTGCATTTTATTAAGTCCTAGCCAAATACATGAGAGAAGGAGAGTTAAAATGTGAATAAACCTTACCAGTCGTATCAATTTGAAATGTTTTTTTTTTTTTAATCAATTTTAGTTGTCATGAAAAAATATTTAATGTTAGTCTTTTTAATAGGATAGATTTTGAAAGGATTAGGAATATTATCAGGGGACACTAACTGCCAAAAAGTAAAAAAAAGATTGTTGTTCAGTAAGTGTTGAGGGGGGTCCCTGCATCCCCTCTTACCACCCTCGCCCTAAAATATAATATATAAATTCGCTTATGTTTTGTCCACATGAAAAAAAAATCATAGTCGTTTAAATAGCTTTCCAAAACAATGTGTAGCAATTTGAAATTTCCCAATCTATTTTTAGATCAATGTAGAGGAAATAAATCATTGTTTTCACCTGGAATGTCATGTGTAGGTCAATACAACATAGTATTTTCTAACATAGTTGGATCTCAGCTAATCAGAGAGATGGAAATTATTCAATCATATAATGTTAATTATTTCCAGTATTTCATCATCATGCATGTTGCACTTATTTGTTTTCCAACACTTTATATTTTTTTTTAAATTTCAGAAAATATGATAGAATCATTCGAATAAACAGCAACGATGTCAAGAACATTGATCCTGTCGAATTCAGAGATATCCTTCAAACGGAGCTGAGCAGCTCGAAGTGTTTCAAATTTAGGAAAAGGACATCAATGGTAGTGTATACTTTCTTTTACACCAGAAGTGGGACCAGGTGTCGTGGAAGAGTAAGCATCCCCTGTTGAGCGGTCACATTAACCAAGACCTCTTTGTTTTGAAAAAGCAGAGAAGTCTAATTTTGTATTCAAAAAAGACCTGCCTAGCAAGTGGCATAAATCCTGCGATTCTAAATATGATTAAACAATAGGATGTATACTTACTAAGGGTAATTGAAATCATTACAACGACCAAGAAATTACCAAATGCTTTAAATTAAATTGTTAAGTATCATCACATCAACATAGCCTGTTTTTGGTTTAAGAATTAAGAGGCAGTCCACTGAAAATCAGGCAGGGTTGTATTAATAGGCGGCACATCGAATGTGACGAATATTTGAAATTTTATTGAAAACAATATCAATGTAGTCCAAATGGAATAATGTAATCGAAGATTTGTTTTAAAATTGCTTATTTAGTAAAATATCCTTTTGTTTTGTGTTCTTGAATTCCCCTATATAGGCCTAAACCATTGAATTTAGGTCAAAAACAACGAACTGTAATTTCCAATACTTATTTAACAGGACTATAATTCATGCTGAACTAAATCTAGAAATATTTCGTCTTTCAGTTTCAAAAATAAAATTGGTGTGCAAAATACTTTTGATAGTAGTTTTTTTCTGTCAAAATATATAGACGTTTTTATGAAATTTTGCGATGTAAGAGTTACCTCCCGTGGCATCGGTAAATCTGCTAAACACCTTACTATCGAAATCCTAGTGAAATATTTAGAATATATACAGAAAATAAAATTATTTAACAAAAACTTACTACTTTATTTTCAAAATAGAACTCATTTTCGCCTCCAAACGTAATATTTAGATTAAGATTGGCAGTATTATTCAGGTTGAATCCACGTTTCCATTGATGTATCAGTGACGTCATTATACCTGACTAATATTGCGTCACAATTAAATAGTTACAAGTTTTCCAAAGAAGTTTGTAAATTCTTTGCATAAAAGCGCAAATAAAACGATTAAAAATAAATAATTTCTCTTTTTCTGTTCAATTACTTTTCAGAGTGCATTATCCTACATGTTAAATAATCATATGTATATGTATTTTTTTCACGAGCGACGTCTCAGCTAGAAGTCCCTTTTGAAATGTAATTTTGTACATGTCCGAGAACTAATTTTTTAAACTGATTGACTATGCTATGCGTACAATTAATTAATTGTTTATATTGAATATTTCTTATAAAATTGGGATGTGAAGAGATTTTATTTTCTTCTGATTATCAAGGAAAGATGAATATTTCAGATTTACGCAACATTTAATTCAAGTCAACGGAGTTGAGATGTTTATTTCATAATATTTTTACACACACACATACACACACACACACACACATACACAAACAAAAAAAACCACTTGATTATATTTACATGTATCTACGCAGTCAAACCAAAGTATACGATCCGCGGTACGATTAAAAATATTTTATTAAAAGAGTGAAAAATAAGATTTAAAAAATATTTATTGAGTAAATTACTGTTGAACTCCCCACTTCAATTTGCCACTAAAACGGAAGATTTCGTGGGCGTATTTTTTGTTTTGTATTGTTTTTGTTTGTTTGTTTGTTTATTTCTTTTTTGGTTAAATTTGGTGATTGAAACAATCACATACTCACATTCAATATGAAGTTAAAACATTTGACTATGTTGGCCAATTCTTAAATGTTTTCCCATTAATGGAAGTGTTTTTTAAATATGCCGCCTTGCCCCCCCCCCCCCCTCCCACCCACCCCGTCCCGGCTTTTTGCTTGCGATTTATGGACTCTTAAATAATGATACTATATATGAAATAACTTATTTTCTTATTAATATAAAATTAAATTTTATAAGATGAAAATATAGGGGAAACGGCTTTTATAGATGACAGGTTTAAAAAATTTGGACAAAGCCGAGACTGTGCACATTAAATTATTTTCTGCATTTAGGTACGTGCAAGTATATTTTCACCAATGATAGAATTGAACTCTTTAATTCACGAGAGAATTAAAAAAAACTTTAGTTGGAAATAAGATATTTAATAAAGATAAGCTGTTTACTCTCAGTTGTTGCATAATGCATGTACAAATACTTTGATTTTTTAATACCGAGTATCAAGAAATCGAACAGATGTTATACATGATTGTAATCTTCATGTACGTAAAAGACATTAGTATTTTAAATACATTGTATAAACATTTGAATCCATGGATAAAATAAGACTAACTGAACAGAAATAAAAGTTCTGATGCAGAATATTTAGAGTTTTAGAAACCGATCCCGATTGAAATAAAACCGATCCCGATTGAAAATAATGCAAAATGTGTAAAGTTATAAAACTAAAGACAGCTGCCACCCATAAGACATGTAAAAAAAATAAATCAAGTAATTTTTTGGCCATATTACAACAAAAGAGTCAAATTTAACATTACAATCATAGTATTTCCTACTTTATATAATTCCGGTCGGGATCGGTTTAAATGTGAAAAATGGTAAAACATAGGTAAATTTGACTCCTTTTATTTCTCTCAATATACGAGTGCCCACTGATTTTATTGAGTGACTCAAAAGTTTGTATTTTGTATTCATAATAACATGAGGAAAAAAATCTGTCATTGTAATGTATTGGGTTTTATAACGTAATGAAAATTGGATGGTGAATTCAAAAAGTTAATTGCTAAACTCAATTTTGGACCACATATTTTTTTCTAAAGAAATATAAATTGGAGTCTTATTCATTACTAAAATTAAAGATAAGAGTCTATGGTATAAATAATATTGATAGACACATCCAGGTTTTGCGTATCTGGTACATATAAAACAAGATAAAAACGTAGTAATTCTTTTAACCCTTTCGCTGCCAACGTAAATTTTTGAATTGCCAAAAACGTAACGTCACACGTAAATGACGTTACAATAGTAGTGACGTTATTAAAAATTGCGGTTTAACGTTGTATCAATGACGTAAATCGCACCTGCGTTATGTATAATTTTAATAGAGGAAGATCCTGTTTCAGCGCATGATCCGAGAAAAAGTATTTTTTTTATATTTAAAGAAAGAGAAATTTAAAAGAAAAACTGTGTTGTCTGAACATAATGTTATCTCCAACACGTATACGGCTGCACGGTCGATTCCTTGTTTTTTAAATTAATTAAATTACGCACTGATTAATAATTTGGTTGATTTACTGTGAAGTATAGGTAGTGGAAATGGTTGTATTATAGCCATCAAAATTATTTCGGAATATAAATTGGTAAACCTTCCATTTTGCATACTGGTATGTATTTGCAATGTACGGAAAATAAATACATTGTTTAAAATATAAAAGTATGCATTCTGTATGAAATTTATTATTTTTTTCTAAAGAAAAAATGATATACCCCAACAAAAACCAGCTAGTCTGAAACTCTACACTGATAAGAAGACCGTGTAATATAGAAGTTAACGCATTTATCAAGAAATTAAAAACCTAAAACAAATCGCGTGCATTTTATTGCTATATCTTGTTGTTCAGAGAATTCAAATACTTTTAGGATATTTTTGTTTTCCTGACACGCCAAACCTTTATGCCATTAAATACATGAAATAAAAAATCAAATGTGTCAAAGACATTTCTCATTGTCTATAGATTTTTTGAAAATAATTGTTTCCTAGTACATGTACGAATTTTGAAAACTGATAGTCGGAAATAGAATAGTCCTCACTTTGTATGCCTCTATTCTTTTCCCATGTAAATTGTGAATAATTTTCCTCAACCCTTATAAGTACTGTTATTTTATTTTCAATCGGTATATATAGAGTACATATTAATCGTAAATAAAATACGTGTAAATTGCGTTTTGCTAGAACTGAAGCATTATACAAGTGGATGCATATGCTAGATAACATTATACAAGTGGATGCATATGCTAGATTTAACGTGTGCAGTGACAAATGTTCTTTCGTAATAACTTGAAAATTACAATGAATAATGGTAAAGCGTATTTTCTTTTTCATTTTTAAAACATTTAACGCCCTCTCCGGCTTCAAACAGCGGTCTGTCCTTATATTCACAATATTTTTAGAAATCGGTGGCGACTTCAGATTTTTTTTAGTGGGATACAAGTCAGAGGCGACCAGCTCAAACTTGAAAAACATATATTGTGTACCGGGTATAAACATGTATTTGAATGGAGGGGAAAGGGGGGTCTTGGTTAAGGTTTTTTCTAAATACATGTACACGACTCTCTCCTTCTACCTTTTAAAAGTGGCCCCCCGGTTTGCACAATATATTTCCTAAGGTTGGTTTTTCGTTACTTTTATACATATAGATATTTAATAACTCAAATGGAACATTTCAAAACGAGGGACCCCCCCCCCTAAAAAAAAAACCAAAACAAAACAAAACAAAAAAAACAAAAAAAAACTCGACTGATGAATCGTAAATAGTTTATAAAACTTAACATCTCAGGTTACCTGCATGCAGTCTATCAGCTTTGTATCCGGTTCTATGCTTCTTTTGATACAAGATTAAACAAAAATTTAAACTGCATTTTTTGACAGATGGTCTACTTTAGCTGCAGATCTGTAGCTAACTCAAGAATGGATCAACCACAAATTTAGCTACAGAACTGTAGCTCTCCGAAAAAATATATGTTGACAGACCGGAGAGCTACAGTGCCATCCATTTGAAAAACTGTATATTTATTGCCCACAAAAAAAATGTGCTGTTTGATTTATTTCTCTATGTTTTTAAAACTGGCATCTCAAAAAATTACTAACTGTGTGTTTCTAACATACTCTCACTGTTTCCACAAGATTATCGAAAATTTAGCCCATTTATACTGCCATTTTGGTTTGCAAGATAATTCGGTCCAACACGCTTCGTACCAGTATCAACCACGAGAGTACTTGATAGAGGAGTAAGGACTTTTTTTTGAAATTTAAATTTTTGCAATTGAGGTAAGAAATTGAAGAATTGATATAGAACCAAGCGCACTTTTTTTTGCAAAATAGATATACAGTTTTTTCAATGGAAGGCACTGTAGCTCTCCGGTCTATCAAGATATTTTTCAGAGAGCTACAGTTCTGCAGCTACCACAATTTATGAAAATCGCCCTCCATTAGATCACTAAAGTTAATGATTCATATGCTAGTACATCGCCTTAATTTTTGGTAATTAATCCTTCCTATTGATTTATTATAAGCTTACAATATTCGAACGAAGCCTATATTTCATTTACACCAGTTAACTTGCGATCTTTTAATAGGAAAAAATATACATGTATACAGTGTGTTAATTTTTTAGACCCTGTACTTTGCGGCTCAACCCTATTCCGAGTGTACGAATATCAGGCGTTGACAAAGTTTTAAATAAATGTACCGATCGAATTATGATTTAAAATAAATATTTTAAACATATATAAACTCACCCTAGTAAAATTTTAAAAGAGGCTTCACAAAATTCCACATTTTTTTTTTTGTTGTATTTTGTATCTTAAAAAATATTATTGGTAACATAATTAAAAAGAATTGGTGGTTTAATAAAACAGTGTAGCTGCAATAATGTAGCCACCTGGTACCCTCTCCAAAAAATATCATCAGATAAAAAAAATCGGAGAGGGCTACATTATTGCAGCTAAAATAAAACATGAACAGTTATTCAATAAATTGAGATTTAACATCCCCCCTGAATTAAAGAAAATTAAACCCCCCCCCCCAAAAAAAAATAAAAATGCTCAATCACTTTATGCTATAACTAATTTAACTGAGTAAAGCAACAATTGAGAATTACTAAAAAAAAAGTCAATCAATAAGTTTAGATCATTATAATAATAATGTATTCAAAACAATTCAAAATTAATCACATATTTTAGTAACTGTTTCTCTCTCTCTCTCTCTCTCTCTCTTTCTCTCTCTCTCTCTCTCTCTCTCTCTCTCTCTCTCTCTGAAATTGTATTTGTCTATACAGTGTATAATGTTTTAAAAGGTACAACTACACACATGTACATATTCCATAATGTAAATGGAACTCACCCGAAATAAGTTAGGAAAAGGTCGATATTTTAAAAATTCGCATACGTACATGTACTCTAACGAATGGGGGTTTGGGTGGGGATGGATCGAGTTTCACCCATTTTTTAAAAAAGAAATACAATGTAGTAGTTTGCCATAACAAAATACATGTATTTAGTTTATTTCTTTTTTAAATCGAAGGCGGCTTTCCCCTTGCCGGTTTTTTTTGTTCTTTATTCTTAAAGTTGAAAACAATAGTGAGCATTATCAAAATAATCACTTTTAATATATTTTTTTTGCTTCTTGTTTTTCATTTCTCTCTCTCTCTCTCTCCCCCCCCCCATTTTGCACTTTAGGCAAATTTTAAACTGCATGCAGTTTAAATAATTTTTCAATAATTGTTTTATATTTACCTATGTAGTCCCCAAGATTTCATTTACCCGATGCATGCCATTGAATAGCATTAATTCAAAGGGACAAATCAGAAAAATATATGACAATTAACACTTTGTATTTTTGTACACGTAAACTTGATTCTGTGTAGTCATCATCAGAAGAAGGTGCAATTTTTACTTCCCTAGCAAAAATCTAAACAATCAGTACACCTGTTTAAATTAAAACACTAGTGTAAGGAATATATTTAGGATATATCCTACACGATGAAAATAGAAAGATCAATAGCCTTTTATCAAATAACCTTTTATCAATAACCTTTTATCACAATAAAATTAAAAAAAAAATCTTTTTCGAAGATTGTCACACAAAGAATTTCATTTATTTGTCGTACATGTATATTTTCTCAGTAGAGATTTCAATAAAATTGCGTCATTATTTTCAATTAAAATTCTGGAAGAAAAATGGTCATATCAAACTGATCATGATAACCCCTTTCACTGTAATACATTGAATTCATGCGTCTTGTTTAAAAACCATGAAGTATTAAAATTCATACCGGTATGTAATAAATAAAGTCAATACAGAACCAAAAAAAAAAAAAACAAAGAAATACCTGGGTATCGATCAAAATTAAAATTTCGGAACAATTAAAGTAAAAACAAACATTTGAAGTTATAATGCTTTGGTTATCGTTTCAATATCTATTCAATGTGTTTAATTTCTAGGTGCTTTTAGTTGATAAGCAGCATGTAAAATCTGCATTTAGGAAACTTACGAAAAATACACCGAACACAGGAAACAAAACGAAACAGGAAATAAATTTTAATTTGTTCATACGAAATAAAATAAAATAAATTAACTTGACAATATTAAATCAGGGAATTAAAAAATCAGTCAGTCAATCTAAATGCTTCAAGAGTTACTGGTTATCTATAAATTCGGAACGTTTTCTCAAGGTTTGGCTTACACGTACTTGTTATTATGACGTCATTTACGTAAAATGACGTTGATTCTAACCGTTGCTGCAAAATGGACGAGTAGTACCTCAATATAGTGAATTTATAATAGTATGAAAATAAACCTTTGAAATGAAATCGTGTTCATAAAGCATATTCAATAGTAATAATACCGGTATTATAAGTAACAACTCATTTATTCCAAAAATTCATGGCGTCATCGCTGGTATGAAATTCACTTTGTTTAGCCATATATTTGCCCGAAATATTCATGATATCCTACAAATAAGCCATAAAACCTTTAATGTTATGCAATAAAAGGATGCAAAAGTTCAATAATTATTTACGTTTAATAGAAGTAAAAGAAATACAAAGTCACAATTTATATCAATACAATCGGCCCAAAATCGGCCCCGTGGCACTCTACGCAACTGTGTGATCGGCCCAAAATCGGCCCTGTGGCACAGAAGTGGTTAAACCCCATATTGACCTTTTTGCACTTAAAATTGAGCACTTACCAAAAATAGGACTAGAGGAGCACTAAAAATTT